TAATTTTTTCAATGAAAAAAAATTCTTAAAATTTTTAGATATCAGCTAATTTAATTTTCATCATGATCATATAATACTAAATTTAGCTGACATTTATAATTTTTTGATTATTTTTCAATAATTAAATTAGAACAAAAAAATATTTTAAAAAAATTGCACTTACAGTTTTTCAAGTTTTTTACAAATCAAAATTGTTTTTTATTTTTTTGTAATAATTTTTATGAAAATAAAGTTTGCTGACATTTGAAAATTTTTAGAAATTTTTTGTTGAAAAAATTTCAATTAAACAATTAAAAAAATAAATGTCACATGTAAAAAACTTGAAAAACTATAAGTGCAATTTTTATAAATATTTTTTAGCTGTAATTTAATTAATAAAAAAAATCAAAAATTTTTAGACGTCTGCTAACTTCAGGGTCATTAATTTTTTCAATGAAAAAAAATTCTTAAAATTTTTAGATATCAGCTAATTTAATTTTCATCATGATCATATAATACTAAATTTAGCTGACATTTATAATTTTTTGATTATTTTTCAATAATTAAATTAGAACAAAAAAATATTTTTAAAAATTGCATTACAGTTTTCAGGTTTTTACAAATGAAAAAATTTTTTTTTTATAATAATTTTTTCAATGAAAAAAAATTCTTAAAATTTTCAAATGTCAGCTAATTTAATTTTCATCATGATCATATGTTTTAAATAATCCATAAGATAACATTTATTCGCGCTGTTTCCATTTTACTCCTCCTTTCGGTCGGCGCTCCATTCGTTCCTCCCGTGACAAACAAATATGGCGGATAAGTTAGTGTGTTCATGCAATGATCTTGTGACTCGCGTTTTAAACTTGTCAATCTCAACGATAATATTGTAAACCCATCATAAAAAAATAAATAATACCGTCCTTAAAAGTAAATCTGTGATAAGTGTCAGCTGATTTAAAAGTTTAATTACGACAGCAAACGCCGTTTTTTAAACTAATTTATTTTATCACAGCAGAATGAAGAATATATTGTAAAACTCAAGTTGAATTATCCTCCTTTACTTTGAAGTATTTCATGGTAAATAAATAGTTACTAATACTCAACTAATTATTTAATTTATAAAAATATTTATTAAATAAAATGATAAATTATAAAAGGAATTTCGTCAGTTATAAGTGACAGGTCGACAAGGTATTCTCACAATAATTATTTTCATGCCGTATGATTTTATGTCACTGCCGGCCAGAGTATTGCATTCAGAAAAATTATAATAATAATTATTATTGTTATTAATACATCTGTTAATAATTGTTGAATAAAGTAATCCGGCTTGATTATTTTACTCACAATTTCGTATCAGCGTGACATCTTTATCAGCGATATCTTTTATTGAAAAAACAAAAATTCATTAATATATATCTCAATTTATTTTATTTTGTTTACTTTCAATACTCACCGATCATTTTCAATAAATTAATCAGGCTTATTATAACTGACGTAATTGTTAAGTTATATTATACGTATTCTAGTCTTACGGCATAAAATCGATCATGACTCACTTGACGTCACTTGACATTAGTTTTTATAAAAATTTTATCCACTTCATTTGCTTATAATTTATAATTATTACTTTTTTATTTTTATTAGCTTAAAAATAGAGTTTAATTTTTTGCATAATAGCTTTCAATTATATATACATTTATCTTTTGTTATCAGCGTTTTATTTACATTTTTTATCTTAAGACTGACTTTCGTTTATTATTGCAATACTTTTTATATTATTTCAAATAGCGGAAATTGACAGTATTAAACCTTTCTTTGTAAGAAGTAGATTATTGAAATAAAATTAATAATTTTTAAATTAGTGTGAATTATTAAAAAAATTTTATAAATGTCAGTATTATTATTTTTGTAAATATTTTCTTTTGGTTATTAAAAAAATAATAATACCTTAGAGTATACATTTAAAAAAATTATATATTGCTAATAAAAATTAATTTTTGAAATTTCATAATTTTTTGTAATTTAAAAATTTTTTTGGCGGTTCAAAAAATTTATCTGACATTCAAAAAATTAATTAAAAAAATTTTTTAATTAAATACACTTTAATTTTTTACTTATAATTTTATGAAAAATGAATTGAAATTAATCATAACTAAAAAACAAGTTTATCTTTTTTTAATGTCCAAAGTATAAAATTATATATTAATTTTTTTTTATTTTTAAATCTTGAGCAACAATAATCTCTTGAATAATAAAGATTCTATATTCAATAGTTGATTGAAAAAAAAATTCTTTAACATTAATTAAATATAAAAAATTTTAGACAAGTAATTTAATAGCAATACTGTAAAACAAAATTTATAAATTTTAATTAAATATTAAAATTTTCATCAAAATAGTATAATTTTTTTAAGATTAATATTTATTAAAAAAATTAAAGATAAAAAAAATTTTTTAATTCTCGAGACTTTAATTTTTTACTTATAATTTTATGAAAAATGTATTGAAATTAATCATGACTAAAAAACAAGTTTGTCTTCTTTTTTTAATGTCCAAAGTATAAAATTATATATTAATTTTTTTTTATTTTTAAATCTTGAGCAACAATAATCTCTTGAATAATAAAGATTCTATATTCAATAGTTGATAAAAAAAAAAATTCTTTAACATTAATTAAATATAAAAAATTTTAGACAAGTAATTTAATAGCAATACTGTAGAACAAAATTTATAAATTTTAATTAAATATTAAAATTTTCATCAAAATAATATAATTTTTTTAAGATTAATTATTTATTAAAAAAATTAAAGATAAAAAAAATTTTTTTAATATTCCAAGAAAATAAATTAATTCTTTTAAAATTTATTTTCAATAAAAAAATCTATTGTTAAAAGTATATAAAAAAAGGTTAAATTTACTATTGTTAAAATGATTAATGACAAAATAATTTTTTTTGAATCACCACAATCTTATTTTACATTTAAAACACCCACGTGTTCAAACTAAACATACATAAACTATAGAGCCAAATATTGCCGACATATTTAAGTATTGTCAAAAAAATGATAATTATTCGTCATTTACTGTCTAGCCAGGTAAATGTATTTAAAATTTCCACATTACGTGCACAGTCTACCGTCAAGGTCAAGAAAAAATTTTCAGTAACTACAGAACTAACTTACTGTGTACATCGTTTTATATTTCTATCCATTCCGGGTTGTGAAATTAAATCGATAAAAAATTTATTTATAATCAAACAAAGCTTATAAATAGGACTTTTTTAAAAAAAATAGCCTCGGGTTTTTAAAAACAATTATTTATTTATTTAAAAAAAATACGTATCGAAATGAATGGTTATATTAACAGTTCCCGGCGGTACTCTAGGTCTTGGTGGGACCGAGACAATACAATAGAGGATCTGGATCCAGAAGAAAATAACAAAAGCTTGAGTGCGACCCCGGAGCATTGCTCCTCGAGTCGAGATTTGAGCAGCGGATGTTCTAATCATGAGGACGACCCTTATGAGTACGATGAGGAAATTCCGAAGTTCGTGGGCTCGAACATATGTGAAGAGATTTACGAGGATAGCGAATGCTCACCACCGAGGGAAGAGCCACTACAGACGTCATCGGACGCATCAGCTACCGGGTTGACGCCCTGTTGGGGCTGCAAAAGCTGCAGTGGCGACAGACCACTATTTTTTCTCAGTTCTCCTGACGAGACTCCATGTACTTGCGTTTCTTGTTAGTAAAATCGTATTACACAAAATTAATGCTTTTAAAAGCACAACATACATATTATTTAAACGCTGATTTATTTTTATTTTTTGGTTTATTTTTTTAGTGTGTTTAGAATTTCATTCATTTTTATCATAACTGAAAAATTAATCTGACTTAAAATAACACGACTGTTAATTTTATAAATCCTCATTTGGAATATTTTTTTTTTATATTGAAATTGGGAATAATACTAAAGTTAGCCGACATTTTTAGTTTTTTGATTTTTTTTCAATAATTAAATTAGAACAAAAAAATATTTTTATAAAATTGCACTTAGAATTTTTCAAGTTTTTTACAAATGAAATTTTTTTTTTATTGTTTTGCCATAATTTTTTTAATAAAAAAAAATTATAAAAATTTTTAAATGTCGACTAACTTAATTTTCATAAATTGGGAGACATCTGACAATTTAAAAAATTTTTTTAACAAATAAATTATAGCAAGAAAAATTTATTTAAAAAATTCCATCCTTAGAAACTCTCAAAAATTATAAGTGAAATTTTTTAAAAATAATTTTTTCTATCTAGTTTATTTTTTAACAAATATGAAAAAATTATCAAGTGTCTTCTAAAAGTGTTAATATATTTTACACGATTAATTAATAAATCGTCTGGATCTTGGTGTTCTTAATCAGTGATTGGCCAACTAAACCATGAAGCATAATAATTTATCATCGAGATGAAACTAAATTATTCATGCTTTTCTTAAGACGCAAACTTTATTTTATTAATGGATTATTGAATATTTTAAAACTAAATAGAAAGTACCTTCTTTAAAGTTTAGCCTTTGTATTATAAACTTATGTTGAAATAATACACGTGGGACCCGTTGAGAAAACAGTGCGACTGCGCTTTGTTCATTTACAGACACTACTAACTAAATCGATGGGATACTAATAAAATTTATTAAACTCTTCAGAACAATATAGTTTATTTTCTGTTAATTTTTTTTTAATTTATTTTAAGTCGTGTTGTTTTTAAATTGAGCTTCAAGTACTTAACATTTAAAAAATACAATTTTATTAAATTTTTAATTAATAAGTACCGTAGAAACTATTAATAATCATCCAATATGACCTGATTAGTTAAAAATAAATAACCGATAAAACTTTTGATATTTCAAAACCTGGTTTTATATAAAATGTATAAAATGATACTTTGCGTTAGCATTTATATCCAGCCTCTATATGTGATGATTGATAAAGCTTATAATGCACTGCTCAATACATATTGTTGAGACACTATTTTTTTGTAATTAATATTGTTATTAATAATATTAAATATTTGTTTCAGTTCTATGCAGTAATCGAGTGAGCCAAATGACCAAAACCTATAATGATATAGAAGCAGTGACAAGGCTTCTAGAGGAGGTAATAATTTATTATTTATTTATTATTATTATTATAAAAATAATGTATTAATCATTAAATTAGTAACTTACTAATAACTAGCAATCTTGCAGCCACTATGTGACTGCCGTAACTTGTTAACTATAAATAAATACAATTTTGCTTTATTAAATAATGAATTTTGTTAAATTGCACTGTACTTTCTTAACTATTGACATTTTTAAAAATATAAGCTCATCCCGATGTTACACTCATCAAGAGCTTTCAGTTGAGTGCCCACATGCATTTTTGATATATTTTTCA